TAAGACGCTATTGAACAAGTAATGTGTTATAGTTACAGCGAATTAAATAATAAAGTTTCATAACACATTTTGTCTATAACTTTTGTATTAGGCATAATAAATTTGCCAACGTATCCAGTCATTCATAACAAGTTATATGTTAACGATTTGTCATAAATGTAATAATCGTGTTTTTCTCATAATTACACAAACAACGCACAAACAGTGCGATTTTACTGGGAACGCACTTATTTTTTTATTGTGTTATTGGTATTAATAGCAATCGAAATCAAAAGTGGTCGAGTTCACGGGAGCGAAAAAAATCGACATGCAAAGTTTTTCTATTACAATTTTTTGTATACACGTTGTAGTATTTCTATGAGTAGGTACTCTGAATAATACGAGCACGCACATCGACAACGAAATTTAAGTGCTCGTCTCCGATTTTTGACAGTACGTATAAGCCCTACGAATGGGCGTTGAACGCTATGCTCTTTTTATATATTTTTATTATTGCCTTTTAACAACGCTGACAAATTGCGTTCGTTCCGAGCAATTAGACGGCTATGTGTGCTCCCTTTTCGTGACCCAAAGCTCATCTAATTACACGTGTATGTACACACGTATTAACTTCCCCATGCCATTACTCAGTGCTATCACGGCGCAATACTCATCATAATCATATCAGACACTGTGCTATTATACGAATTTATTATTATTGGGCGGTTTTGTTTTATGACAACACGACGGGTCGGAACGGGCGAGCCGGCCGCTTAAAAAAGCAGGTGAAAATAAACATAACAGGCTCGACCTAAACACAATAAAATACGTCATGTCGATACGCTAACACGCGAACAACTTGGATAAGACCGAACAAATATAAAAATAAAAAATCGTTTTAAAAAATTAATGAATTCTACGCAGGTAATAGTTGTTACTTGAGTTGCATTTAAACAGTTTACACTAATGAAGCGTTTAATGACACCTAAGCGACTCGCATTTGAAATTGAAATTGTGTTTCTCGTTTGACAAAAAGATTCGGTTTAATCGAATGCAAAACATAAGGCAACTTTTACTCGGAGCAACAAAACATTAAAGGAACATGTTAATAGTAACCACCCGACGCAGCAGAAAAGTTATTAAGAAAAATAAATACACTTATTCTTTATTGATTATCGTTATTTGATTATCATATTAAAAGTTTTATCCATTTTCCATGTGAATTATAAGGTGACACGCAGAAAAAAGTAACCACAACACTTTGGTATCATCGACACGACTATCACAAATGGCGTGCCTTAACAATGCGTGTGAACGCGGTTTGCATATAATGACTCCTTTGAATGAACATTATGTCATTAAACTATCAGAAAAGTAATCTAAAACTGCAACACTACGACGTCTAAATGCCTTACACAATTAAATCACCTCTTCCTCATAATACAACACCGGGACAAGACGTCCACTGTTGAGTCACGTCTAGTAGCCTCTAGACAACAACATTTTGTGCGGACGCCGCAACCCACTGCTGATGTTGGACACTAGTGACAACGTTTGTATGAAATATTGTATTATTCTCGTGAATTTCGGGTTCCGTTTTACTAATTTTTTTCTCTAATTGCTGTGTACGTCGACTGTGCAAATGTATGACCGTTGAGTTGCCTACTCAAAACTCCTTATTCTACATTATTATGCATACCGCTTTTTCATTAATAATCATTCTAAGTTTTATACATAAAACAGTATTTATTTTTACTATTTTATTACTCTTATTTTTATGATTTAAAAATTAATTCGTAACTAATAATAATTTATAGTTTTATAGATAATTATTCAAAATTGCGTAGGATTTTCAAAAAAGTGTGCTCCTTTAATTTATAAACGGGTATACTTTAAATAAAGACCACTACTACTAGTTCAATTTATGAAATGTATTTAAGTGCGTTAATCATATCAATCTTCACGCGTTTAATATGGAAAAACTTTGTGCCAGGTACATGGTTGTGCTCACCTAATCACAGGTAACAGCTGTCGGTTTCTCTCACGCCCTTAGGTTTTTGACAAATGTTTTTTCTCATTATGTTTTTTATCAAAACATGAGAGAATTGAGGGATAGAAAAATAAAATAATAATAATAACGCGCCATCCTCTCAGCAATAAACTTTAAACAAATTAATGTATAAACGTTTAAACAACTTATTTGCTCCATCATTAAGTTAAACTGTAATTTTAAAAACATTGCAGATAACGACATACTACAAGTTAATATAAAAATAAATAAGTATGAAATGTACTCTGTTTATTCGAACAACACGGAAATCTCCACATTAAATTCTATAATCAATACTCCTATATTAATAATGAAATAAATTTAATCCTGCGTACATTTTAATTAGATAAAATCCGAAAAATATACCTGTTGTTTTCAACAGTACTTCGTTCTCAGACAATCTAAGTAATCAATCCAATTTTATATTTAAAAAATATATAGTAAAATAGTCCAAAGGTAAATAAATTTTGATCACGGTAATATTTTCCACTCAAAACAACAGTGTGGTAAATAATTCTTATAAAAATAAAACATGAGCGTCATCTCGATTTGCCACTCCTCCACAAAAAACTAACACGAGGTTAGGTACCATTTTTGTTGACACGGCACCGGTACCAAAACAGTACACAAACGGCTTAAAAAACCGGATAGACGTTCCGCGATGACTTAACTAGACGAATTTCTATGACTAATATGGTAAAAATGATTATGGTGTCAAGACGATAATTTTAAATAGCATTCGTAAACTGGGTTATATTAATTTACTAAGTTAGGTCAGGTTGGGTTAACCTAAATCATTTATTTATTCGTGGTCGAATCGCTCAGTCAAAACAAAGAATAAGTCATCAGATGGTTTTTTGCACACACCCTAGTTAGTTGGCAAACTATCAAATTTTATCTATCAAATAAAACTGTAGACAACAATACAACATTTTTAGTACATCATCTAAATATACAGTTTAAACTAAAGTGGTCACTTAAACTCGATACAATGCCGTTGTATAATCGAGAACAAATGATTTATGGCAAACGATTTAAACAATAACCAATTATTTATCGTATTATTGTCACATTGAAAAGGCAGTTTGAACGCGTGTACTCTGTAAACATTTTTCATCTACCTAAGTCGACACTTTGAAGACCCCAAAGTATACAAACACATTTCTGTGCTTGTTTTTCAAATGTAATTCTTTGACGACCCCCTAAACAAATAAAGCTTATGTGAAGGTGGGGTCGGTAATGTGCACCTCTTCAGCTGTTTGGGACACAAAACTGTTTCCCGTAAAACAACTCTGATGGTCGGAATCCAATGCCTTTTCTATCGCGTTTGTGTCTCCAATGTCAGTACATCAATAAGTACCGATGCATTTGAGTTTGATTAAAGTTATACGAATTAATATTTACGAAGCTGTTAAATAATTTCTAGAAGTCATGTAACGAAATTTTCTCTTAAAAAAGCGTAACAATAAAATCAGGTCACAAATTTCAGTTAAAGATATATAAGCAAATTCTTTGTACGTGTCTAATTGTGACATATTTTAAAAAGTAATTTGCAAGAATTTAACGTATTTAATTAACGTAAAATTTCGACTAGTTTTTTCAATGTTATAAAATCACAAAAAATTAGTTTGTTTATAAATTTTATATAATTTTGATTTTCGGCTAATTTTGTAATTAATATATATATATATATATATTTAATTATTATTCAATAACAATTTCGATTCCACTGTATTTAATACGCCTAATTATATAATTATTGTACTTATACTTTGCGATGAACACTTTCTTTCTCAATAAATCAATGTAAATCGTAAAGTTCATGAAAATTGATCAACATAAATTTTCACCTAATTCGTATAATCAGTGCTCGAATTGGGGGGGGTGCGCAGGGGGACGTAGCTCCTCTACTTTTTTTAAAATTTTTTTGCGCACCCCAACTACTTTTTTTTATTGGGATGGGAGGACGGTGGAAAATACCACCTCTTTTTTTTTTTTTTTTTAATATTAGTATGATAATGAAATATGATTTCGCAGTTTTCAAATTGTTAAGTTGAGCTCCCCTACTTATTTTTGGCCAATTCGAGCACTGCGTATAATGGATCAAAAGTTAATTAAAATTTTATCACATTGCTCATTTTTATTGAATATAGTTTAGGTTCTCGTTAATAATTATAAACTTTAGTTTTTTATGTTTAATGTTACTCGCCTATCGTATCTCAGATCCTCGTCGTAAGGGTAATCTGGTGGTAAAATCTGCCAGCAGCCGGTGGTTGTATTTGTTTCGTACTGGCCAACAACGGCCGTCTCTTGGCCATAGACCTGCACGGAACTCTGCTCGTGTATCATATCCGTCCTATGGTGCTGTTGTTGGTGAAGATGGTGTTGATGGTGATGATCTATAATCGGCATAAACGTCGCGTGATCTTGAGGCATGACCATCGGGTCGCCACCGGTCATATGCTCGTGATACATAATTTTCCTGTATAACTCAATGACTGATCGATGAGACGTGTATCGTAGACGATACTTCGCTGATCGACAGCCGACTGAATGATATCGTCGTACGTACGATCCAGCCAGGTCGTCGCAGATAAGAAACTTTGCTTAATCTCTCGCGTGGTGTTGTATGTACATATATATTTCCAATACGGATACAAAAATAATGTGTACACAATAGAAATGTAAATTAGTACTATTATCTCTTCGGTATATGAGCGATTGCTAAAGAAAAGTACAGTCTACATCAATGCATCATATGTGTAATGCAATAATTTGAAGAAAAATAATATTGATTTTAAAATCCTAATTTCAGCCTGAGACCTTGTGTTTGAGTTTACAAAAAGCATTTTGTTAATCGATTCCAATATTTATGTCACTTAGGCTAAATACATTAAATTATAATGTTAGGTAATAGAAAGATAATAAATTCATTAAAATGAACACTGAAACTCAATCTAAATCACTAGTTTTGTAGCACGTCACAATAACTCTCGAGTAGTTTAAAAAATTAACAATATTAATTCAATATTTTAACGGCTTGCCTATGTAAAAAAAAAACTTTTCTTCCTGGTGTAACTATCAATTTATAAAGTGAATGACGTGCAAGATAAAATTAAAAATGCCAAATTTAAGTTGTTTTTATTTCCAAAATTGACAAATAATATAAAAAATAATGTGTTTTTATGTCAATTATTCTTCCGAATGAATTAATAAATTCAAAAAATTAAATTAACTTTCTCTATTTATTTGTCAGAAAAGAAACTAGTAACTTTCGAAGTAATTTAATGATACAATGTGGAATGTTGGAACAATTTAGATTACCTTAAGTAATTTTAGGTAAGAAACAAAATTGTTAATAATGTTTTCTTAAATTATAATTTTTTATTTAAAATTAAAAAACTAGCCAACAAATAAACATAAATTAGGATAGTAAAACACATAAATATATCAATAATATTAAAAAATAAAATAAAATATACAGTAAAAAAACAATATATAAATGAAAAATCTAACAATGAGAAATGTCAGTTACATTTTATCATATTCATTTATTATACTATACTTTTAACCAATTATAGACAATAAATTTAAAATTCAGCTAACAACATTAATATACAATACATTTTTAAGTGAAAAATCAATTTTAGGCCGTAAAGTGATCAGAGAAAATTGACTAGGCTGACCTTTTAAAAAACAATTATGCTAAATCTAAAATATTTAACCTAGGAAAATGTATTAATTATGAGATTAAAAACAGCAAAACTTTAGTGTTTTTATAGATGAATTATACTGTAATAAATGCCAGGATTCAATGACCAATCACAGATCAAACAAAAAACTCAGTCTTATTGCTCAGTTCATATTCAATCTCTTCATTCTTATACATTTCCAAAAGCTATAATGTACAAATCAAATATCTATTATAGAAATTAGAAAAAGTTGTTTAATAGTATAAAATAATTAGTAATTACATACATTATTGATATCTTTTATTAATTCTTGCTTTTGTTTCTCGTGCTTTACAGTTAATTTTTCCTTTTCTTTAGCTTGTTTAATCTAATTTAGAGATATTAATAAAAAAAAAATTTTTGAATAATGATATAAATTTACTAATATTGATTTATATTAATACATACTTGGGCATGTTTTCTTTCATCCATGAATTTCTTTGTATTGTTTTGTTTTTTTTCACGTAGACGTCTATCTTTATCACCTTTTGTTTTTAATGTCTTGTCATTCATAACTTCCTTCATAACTTCTACAGATATTTTAGCTTGTCTTGTATTCATTTCTTTTAAGTCTCTATTATGATTATATTATACAAATTTTAATAATTATTAAAACTATTTATTGACAAATTTATTACTTTTCATGTCTAACTTCTAATTGTTTCATTTGAGCTGCTTGTAAGTTCTCCATAAGCTTAATAAGAGCATCTTGTTGTTCAGTGGCTTGTTGTTTTTGTAAAGCCCATTTTTCACGTCTATGACGTTCTACCATTTCTGACCATTGAGTCATTTGTTCATTCACTAACTTTTTTACACCACCATCATTTAAAACTTCAGTTTTGCTAAATATAATACACAATAAAAGCAAATTATTTTAATTTACAACAAAGTGTTTAAAACTCAGCTTACTCTTTCCCTTTTACAGCTTTTTCTACAGAAGTACACTGTTGCTTTTGTATAGAAGCTTTTTCTTTGGCTTGTCTCTTACGTAATGACTCTAATTCTTTTTCTTGTTTTCTACGAGCTTTTTGGAATCCCTTGTCATTTCTTAAATATTCAAGATTGATATTTTCAAACTTGATTTCTTCTTCTATAAAATTAATTAAAATTTTAATTAATAAAAAAATGTGCACAATGATATAATTGCATTACCTTTTTTTAGCTCCTCATTTTTTTTATTTTTGCTTCCTTTTTTTCCTGTTTTTTCTCCATCTCCTACTCCACTACCACCACTTCCAGAAACAATATCTTTAGTGTTTATATCAGTTTCTTCAATACCCATTGCCTTCATTTGTTGAGCACGTTTTTCTTGTGCAGACAAAAATGCTCTTGGATCTGATAAAGCAGCCATGAAATCTATGGATCATAAATTATTATTACTACAATTATAAATGCAACTAAAACACATTATAATAATTTATAAAGCATTTGTAGCAAAGAAAATGCAATAGCTACTGATAAGATCTAATTTTAAACAGTGTCTGCTGCACTAGATTCCTAGATTGTTGATAACACACAAATTATTACAATAAATCAAAAAATACAATATTTAAAAAAAAATTAAACAAAATAATAGTTGGCTTTCATGTTATATATGTCACAAATACTTCATTATCTTGAAAATAATGTATTTATTATTTTTTAAATATATATAGAAACTATAAATGCATACTATTCATTTTAATTTAGAAGAAATCCGATTCCTCAACTTCATCTTTTTAAAATACACCAAAATCAGTCTAACTGGGACATCCCATATTACATATCACATCTAATTTCATTATTATATAGAGAAAACAGCAAGTTGAATTTATATTAAGAATTTCAAAGCAGCTGTACAATGTATCTCAGACCAGAATGACAATGCTTACAACTCTTGATACAATTATTATTGTTGGATTTTTTTTTTTTAATCATTATTATAAACTATATTTAAAGTAGATTTTTTTAATTTTTAATTTTTTATTTTAATAGCCATTTGTAAAGACCTTTTCTTTCAAAACATTTTAATGGCTCAATAAATATTTTAAGACAACTCCTTATTAAGTTACAAGCATTTAAATACATAGTCGGTATGGAATTAAGGTGTAGTATATGTTCAACTATAAAAATTGTACCCACCATAACTACATATCCACTCAATGTCTTAAAATGCTTGTAATTCAATGAATACTTGTCTTTAAATGGATATTAACCCATCAAAATATTTTGTAAGAATAGGGCTAAAAAATGGCCATTTTTAAATATTGTTATTTTTTTTTTATTAGTGATAAATAATAAAAAAATATGCTTTAAACGGAGTTTAATAAATAAATAATTATTTTATACAAAATGTATACAAAATATTTGTATCAAAATTTTAAGCATGGTAAGTTATAGTCTAAAAAATTTAATTTTTTGGGAGGAAAAGTAAAGTTAGGAAAAGACTAGTGATAAAAATAACCATAACTTCAGCCATCACTATAAAAGGTTAATAACTTAAAAAATTTTAGCCTAAAAACTGTTATCGACCAGTCCTTTCCTTAATTATATGATTATCTATTATATATTTGAAAAATTAAAATAGACACATTTATAAGGTATAAGGGATGATCATAAAAAATACTTCATGATTGATAAATTGATAAAACATGTACCTAAAAAAAACCAAATAAAAAATTCTAAAATTTTATTTTTACTTTTTGTTTAAGTGGTTCATGAAAAAATAAGTTACTCTGTATAATTTTCTTAAAGATACAAACCTTCAAAACCATCAGGAACATAAATTTTTAATTCAATATTACAAAATAACATAGGAAGAGCCATGGGAAAATTAGCTTCAGATCTTAAAGAAATATGCCTATAACCAGCCTGCAGACCATCCAATGGTAAAATTCGTTGACCTAGTAATTTACCATTTTCTTCATAAACACCAATTCTTAATACTGCTAAATCAGGTAGGACAACCTACATCAAATTAGAAAAAATAAGTAAATTATTTTAAAATATGGTAATAAACAAATTTACCTTTCTGAATAAAAAGGGCTCTTCGTTATATACAGGATTTAAACCATTACTAGGTACCATTCTAGTTCGGAATTCTTTTCTTATTGTATCAGTAGGAAGTCCATACATGTCAACTTCTACATAAGTTCCAACCTTTTTATCAGACAAGAACTGACCAGCAATCACTTGCACTGAACACTGAGCAGCAATTACACCATCCACAGGTGATTCAGCAAATGGATCAAAACTACGATCAGCTCTACGCATGAAGTCAGGTTTCAATAGATATCCACAATTTCCATTATATTCAAATTTTCCTTGATTTAGTTGCATTGGCAAGTCTGCAGTTTGAAAATTTAATGATACCATTTGACAACCGGCATTCCAGAAAACCTTTGAAACCAATATGTTTAATTAAATAAAAATAATTAAAATATTGTAAGACTAAAGAAAAATATTAACACAAAGTCTATTAGTAAAATGAAAAATTATCTAGTATTATGATTACAAACAATAAACCACTAACCTGAGGCATATAATTAGAGGAATCAGCACGAGTTCCTTTTGGATAAATACGGCTCATTTGTCTTTTATTGTAATTAACAAACTCAATAGCTTGAGATTTTAAGTAACCCAGTCCTGTATTCTCAGCAAATGAACTCATGTTATGATGAATATTTTTTTCTATAATAATTTATTTAATATTTAGAAAATAAATGAATATTAATTTAAAACTATGTATTAAAAAATTAAAAATTAAGTTAATCCCAAAAAATATTTCTAATCCCAAGTCCAATAATACATAAAACAAGCAAAATGCGTTAAGAAGGAAAGGGTTGAAAAAATGGAGGATGTAATATTTTTTTTTAAATATATCAAGAATAAATAAAAAATATATAGATTAATATAGGGAAAAGTACATTTTTTTTTTCATGAGTAGTTATCAGTATAAGCTATTTAAGGATTTTACATTTTTTAGAATTTTCTTTAAATTTCAAAAAATGATGAATTACTCAAAACCATTTTTTTGCACTTAGCTTGTTATTGATTTCAAGTCTTCACTTACTTTCAGCTACATCAAAGCCTTGAAATTTAATTGGTTGAGCATAGTTAACCATTGAAGACAACCATGGATGCACATTAGTAGTGGATCCAGTATACTGTATAGGAGGTGGTGCTTCAGCACCTTCAGTGCCAGTAGCATCAGGGGCTTCTGCCTGAAAATATTGATATAAGTGAATAAAAATTAAAACATAATAGAAATTATAATTACTTTTTTGTCTTCAGGAGGATTTGCAGTAACTGCTGTAGCATCTTCTTTTTCTTCATCTTCAATAACAAATTGACCTTTTCTAAACAATTCTAGCTCACTCTTTTCAACTTCTGGCTTAAGACGTTTATTTTTAATTAAAATTTTCCGTTTAAGCATTGAAGGTGGTGGTAATGGAACTCCAGGATCACACTAAAATTTCATGTATGTTTAATTATTTATTCTATTATGATAAATTTTAATGCTTACTGGATATTCTGGAAGACATTCTTTCATTAAGAGATCTCCAAGAATTTCATCACAATATTTGGCAAGCTTATATTGCTGACTTTTACAACAATGGTTTTCAAAAGAAAGTATTATAGGGTAATCAGTAGTAACAAAGGCTGTATCTCTTATAGCATAAATAACATCCTAAAAATAATAATAATAATTTCATTTAAAAGAATTACTGGAGAGTATTTAAGTTTTCCTAGAGTAAAATAATAATTTTTTTTCAGAAAAAAAAATTATATGAATTATATTAAATCTAAAACATTAATATAATTCTTAGATATATAATGATTTCCTTACTTTAAACAAAATATCAGTACACATGGCTTTTCCGTGAGTAATAATAGGCTCTTCATCTTCACCTTTACCATCCCAACAATCAAGTTCTACACATCTATTAAATTTTAGATATTTGTTTTGTAACAACAGTTTATTCAAACTAGTTAATGATAATTAAGAATATATATTAATACATCTAACCTGCATCCTGCTAAAAGTGTTTGCCTATACATTTCAACGCTTGATTTTCCACCAAATTGACGGCCTGACAAGTAAGTATTATGAGATGAATTGATGTAGTAATGAGCTAATGGTTGATCCATGTCCATGTAAAAATCTAATCGATCCAAAAAAACAGGAGCATTTTCATCAGACATCAAATATCTAATTAACCCTTCTTTTGAAAGTTGTTCTGTATAATATCAAGAAGTAAATGTAGTTAAATAGATATGATCAATAAATATTTAATTACTACATACTTTGGTTTTTAATGTCTTCAGATGGTTCATAATCATTTATAATTTCAATAGCTCTTTTCTCATCATACAATGGGTATAATATTTCATTTAGACGTGGATCACGTTGTTTTTCATTTAAAAATGTTATAAACTGATCCAAACTTATAGTATCAGCTTTTCCCTGAGTGCTAAATTTTATATAAAAATTGAATAAATTTTTACTATTTTATTAAATTCAGTAATTTTCAATAAAATAATTATTTTATAAAAAATTCAAATTACTATCAATTTTTGAATAAATATAACATAAACAACAGCTTGGAATGTGCATCTCACTTAGTGTCTAGGGTCAAAACTCCCAAAGTACAAAAAAATCATAGTAGTGAAGGGGTTGGGAATTTCCCCACTACTTTATGTTTTAAAATCTTTCTGTATCTCTATACAAAATTTCTAAATACACTACTGATGTAAATTAAAAATAAATTAAATTTAGAAAAAAAATTGTTTAAAGAGTTAATGTATTCTCTTGTTATTTAAGTTTATACTTGATAGTTTATAAATTGATTGTAGAGTATACTACAAATAATTGGCTGAAGCATCATTTAAAAAATTTTCTTGGTTTTTTTTTATTTTACAATATTAAAGTTTTACTTAGATTTTAATACTAAATTATTTCACTCAAAAAATATATTTTACCATAGACATAGTACATTTTATCTACAGTTAAATACATTTTAGATAAGATTCTTACATGGTCTGAAACAGTTCTTCGATATCATTTCTAGGACATATCTTGTGGTACAGTTCATAAAATTTGTCAAATGTAAACTCTGATGGTTCAATAGTATCATTCTAAAATAATTAATAAATAAGAATAAGATTTTTATAACTGATTAATATTAATTACTTTTCCACTTGGTAAGTTGAGATCAGCTAAACATTGGTAGACCATTTTTTCAGTCTTACCAGAAGCAAATGTTCTAGCAATTACTTTAACGGGTACTTTTCCTTTAGGATCTACTAACATACCTAACCGCATCCAACTAAAATAAAACCATTTAAGTTTTTAATTAACACAAAAAAGGGTACAGTTTCCTTACTGCTTCATAAGGTTTGTCCGAACACATACATTATTCATTTTATTATTATGAGTTATCTTACGAAGACTTTCTTGCCATTCCTAAAAGAAAAATTTATAATTAAACAAAATGATTATTATATCATTATTTTTATCAATACACAATTGTATAAATTCAACTTATTAACACAAACAAAATAAATAGTAAGTTAACATGGTATTATGAAACTAAACAAATTAATACAAAACCTACTATGTAGTATTTTTATTAAATAAGAAAAGACTAACCATCGAAATTTTATTACAGAAAAATCTAAAAATTCCATGAATCTTTCCTTATTTTTATGAATAAAAAATCCATTAAAATCAATTTTAGTAAGATAATTTCACAAAACAAAAAAAAAATTGTGTGTATAAAATAATTCATGAATTTTTATTTTATAATTTGTTAATTGTATAGTCTTTATACCTTAGCTGTTGCAGCATCAGGACAAATAATATGTTGATAATTTATGTTAATATAATCTGTATTGCTGCATATTGTTAGAGATTTTTCTTCCAGAGAATCACCATGTTTGTTTATCAGTTGCTGAAGTTGTCTTGTATCCTAATTTTATATTATTATTAATTTGGTTATTTTAATTTATTTGTAGAAAATGTTTAAATCTTGATCTATTTACCTTTGGCAAACCTCCAGAACGTATGTCACTAACTTGACATAATTCGATAACATCACCATCCTATAATTTACAATATATTTAAAATAAAAATATATTTTAATTAAATTTAAAAAAAATTATAAATCATTGGTTTACATTACTTCAAGTTTAACCTAAAGATAAAATAAGTAAATTTTATAATGTAATAAATATTTCTATGATACTTACTTTCAGTAAAAATTGTATTAGTATAAAAACTTACTCTATTTTCACTTTTCCAGTAAATAAAAAATCCATATTCATCTACTTTAAACGTACATCCCCATTCAATTTCTACATTGTCTTTTTCTTCAGACCATCGGTCAAAAACACAGCCTTGCAAAAGAACTTCAGGAACTGGAATTTGCCAGCTGAATTCAAACTTTTTAGTCATTGCGACCAATTGGTCGTAAAGTTTACGTTATTTACATTTACTTCTGAAATAAATGAATGATTGTTAAAAGTAATAATACTGATTGATAATTAATATGATTTTAATTATCATACTATAAACACATTAAGAATAATTTAGAGTTATTAATATTTCCTTCAAAGTAAATTGTTAATTGGAGGGTTTAAACAAAATAAATAAGACATCTTTTATTTATTTTTTGAACATTTAAAATTATCTATTAAAAATGTTCAATAGTTCACTAAATAACTTACTAATTATGCTACTTTTAAGCAATTGTCTTGTAACAATTATAATTAAAACTACAAAGTAATATTTAAATTTAGGTAGTAATGAACATATAATAAATTCTTAGTTTATTTAATTTTGTAACACACAAAATATTTTTATAATAGAAATATATTGATCGTTTTAAATATAATTTATAATTATAAATAGTTACACTAAGCATTAATGATCCAGATCATTTGAAGCACAAATAATTATATACAAGATAATTTTACAACTATATGAACCTTCCAGATCATTTAAGTTAATTTAGAGCCATGTCATAATAAAATAATAGATAACTGTTACCTTTTTATTTGTCGTAATTGATAGTTAACGATAAAATTAATATTTTTGTGATTAGTACAACAGAATTCCCTTACACATAAACGATGGCAAGTTGCGGACTACTTTTGCCGCAGTCAGTTACACTGTTATCGATCTTATCAGTCCGCGGTAAGCAAAAGAAATTATTGGTTACTATACTAGCAGCGTTCAATTTTCAATGAGAACCCCTTGTATACAACGTTAAATGTTTGATAATGAATTGTGATATTTCAGCTCTTAGGACTTTTTCTAGAGAGTTATTAATTGAGCCTGCACTGTTGCTCAATGCAAATAATAACTACTTTGAGTAACAATTTCAAAATTATTTTGAAACTGTTACATTTTTTTAAGTTTCCTAATATTGTAACATTTATTTCATATATATTGATTAATACTTAAATATTTTGTAACAAGTAAGTTACAAGGTCCAACATAGGGGTGGTATTTTGTTGAAGGTGGTAAATAAATCCAGTTAGCTATCTTAAATTTTCAATTGATATCATACCTAACACATTTTTAACAATGACAAAAAATAATTTTGTAAGAAATTAACATGAATTAAGGTAATAAGGGTGGTTACTCTATAATGCATTAAATATTGTAAATATAGACCTATTATTAAAATATAATTAAAAACAAAAATTTTTCGGGTAACAAAATACATTTGAACAAAAAATTAATCATTATTTATATTCTATTGTGATGCAATATATTAATTCACTTGTCAAAAGTAGAGCATTTAAATTGTTTAAACAAATTGATACTAAACATGTTTAAGAAACTCAAAGTAAAATAAATACTAAATTAATATTTAATAGTAGCTCAAAATCTATCATTTTATTTTTCATGCATGTAAAATATGTTTAATTATTTATAAACAATTTTAGGAGTAGTATTCATCTTGCTTTTAATTGAAATTATCAATAAACAACGTTTAAATTTAATGATTTTATTTTGTCGAGTTCAAGAATTTCTAAATAGAAATTAGAAATTAAAAATAGATTTTTTACATTCTTTCATATCCATATGCTCAAACAGACTGCCCAAATATAAAATACAAAAAAAATGTTTGTTTCATGTAAAACAACTGAGGAAACTAGGCTAAACAAGAATGATAAAAATTCCATCAAGATTTGGAAATTGTCCCGTTTTTTTTTTTTATAATTAATTAATCATTTTTACTATCGACGATGTTATTACTGCATTATAACTAATATTTCCATTAAGGAAAATAATAAACATTAATGAAATTTAAGTTATTCTAAAATACCAATAATGTAAACAATAACATCAGTTTTTTAATTTTTTGATGGGATGATAAAAAATATTAGTGGAGCCCTTTAAAATATTTCTACTTATGTATTATCTTTGGAACTTCCTACCCAGAAACAACAGAAGTGGTAAAAACGCAAAAAAGACTACTATCCTTTCACCATTCTGAGTGTCCAATATATCAATACAATTACATAATATATGTAATTTTAAAAGGGAATGCATGTTAATAATATTGAAAGGTAGAAAGACTCAGTCCTCTGCGCCCCCCTCACTCTAAGTTCTGTTTGTTTAATGAAAATAGATATTTAAAAAAGTGGACAAGTAATAAGTCTAATTGTCCTAAAACGTGTGTGTGTCAGTTCTTAGTAGTTAATTGAATTTTTTTCCTTAATTCCAAGACAAAATATTTCATTATACTAAATTTTAATTTAGATTGTTAGCATTTTTTTAATTGAAATTTGCTTTTTTATAGTTACATTATACTAAGTAGGCGTCAAATGTATAATGGTGATAACATTGAGTTAAATCTTTATTTACTAGCATTGCTTACTCGGCCTAAATATTAAAATTAAAAATAATGTTCAAGACGTTGGAGTATATAAAAAATATACATTGGTAAATAAATAATTTCAGTTTTTATACATTATTAATGCAAAAGGTATTCAAAGTAACTATTTAAAAGTTTTTTGAATCGTATTAATTTCCATTTTCATAAATTCTTATTTTACAAATCCTTAGAATATTAGCCACGAGGAGAATATTATTTTTTATATCCATCATAAATCTGAGTGTAATACTTAGTATAATGTTTTGTCAGCTTTATATTACAAGTACTCTACGAAATTCTTTTAAGTTTGGAACTTTTTTCTTTTATATCATGTATCGCTTTTCTGATCTAACAAACTCATCAAATCGTAAAATCCTATCGTTATCTCATCATGACATTTCAATTATGAATACGCACAATTTAATAATTGAAAAATGTCATTATTTATAAAATAATTAGAAAAGATTTTATAATCCATTCAAAGAAAATTGTAGATTAAATATTTCTGATGAACATATCTTGAATCGTTCACATCAAAGAATATTACTTTTAACACATTATTCTCTTCTTAAGGAGAAAATTATTAATCTTTATTCGAATTCTTTTATTGTTTTTCGAAAAAACATGAAAACTTTACTCATAGATTTTTTAATAGAAATTTAATAGAATAGAAATTATATACAAACACAAAACAATAAAGTTAATGATTTTTACATTTCATATACTAGTTCTGGTTTCATTTAGTCCAGTTTGGAATTAAAAATTACCTAATGTGTTGAACTACATAAAAGAAATTACCCAACGTATTTAATCACTTTTAATTTGTAAAGTAGTTTTTCGATTTGAATATTTATTATTAGCTTTCTAAATAATGTAAATAACTAATATTATGAATCATAAATAGTAAAATTTAAACTAAAATAGTAAAACTAAAAATCTATTTTCAAGGTTATATAAAAATATAACAAATATATATATTAATATATTCCAGAGCTAGGATAACACAGGATTAAAATTTTAAATATATTTGTTTAATTATTCACATTTTAATACGTCGTAAGTTTTACCAGCATCTATATCATTAATAGATTTTAATGTCTTCACTGTCTTTACTGTTCAGTGAGTCTAAAAGTAAATGATAATTAACTAATGATAATAATCAAAGTTGAGTGTAAATTTTATTATTTTTAAGTATAATTAAGTATGCATAATGAAATAAATATTTTGTCAACTTAATAAAATATAATTTTTAAAGTAGGCAATGCCTAGAACCTAATATTCACAAATAGTCTTAATATATTATTCTGTATTAATGATAAAATAACATAATAAAAATGACTAAAATTTCATGTGTTATTCACAATCGTAATTTCCAACGTTTCATACAGTTGTCAAAATAAGTAAAAATTATAAGAAGAATTATTTGAGATCTTTAAAAGAATATTCACTTATAAATAAGAATTGAATATATTTTTGTAAATTATGTCTGTATTTTAATGAAGTGTTGCATGAAAATTATATTTATTCAAATTGCTTGTTTTTGTTACAATAATATGTTAATTAACGTTTGCGTTTTAAAAATATAACCTGCCCTTACATAAACGTTTGGATTCATTTAAATATTCAACTATGTTTATAAATTTCACGCAAAATCATAAAGAACTAGGATTACATCAATTTAAAGAAATGGTGAACAACGAAGATGAACAATCGGAAATATATACATAGTCAAAAATACCAATACAACATTGTTTGATGTAGAAACCGGTTAATGAAAATTATAAATTCATAAAGATACAAATTAATAACTTGTTTGTCGTTTATCGCTTAATATGTTTCGGTAAAGAAACATTGAAATTAACTTCTATCAACAATATCTTTAATAATTTTGTTAAAATCAAGTCCGTGTAACATATTTGCAATTATAAATGATAATGCACATAACGAGGTCAATGACTTATAATATTTTCTCAGAAACCGTTTTAATTTAAAATGTTGATGTTTAAAAGATAATAAAGTTTACCGTAAACACAAATTAATTATGTCGAGAGACATGGTTAATCTATTCTCGTAGTCGACGTTACAGAACAGTTAAAAAAATTTGGTTGTTAACAAAAGATTTGCTGTTCTTCAGTTCTCGATACTACAGGAACGAATTTCTAGAAAATATTTCAATAAGATTTCAGAACATCATGTTATTTCCCAAATACTACCGTAACCACAGTATGTTTGTGTATACACTAGATAAATTGTACTTTTGCTAAACAATAGCGACTGGCGTGCAATAAGCATATCAAACTCCGTTAAAGTGTCCTCCATTTATATAAAATGTATAATATTGTCAAAAAAGGACATTCCATTAACATATTATAAAAAATTATGGTCCGTAACCTAAAATTTATGTCACATATTATCGTGATAATTTCTGCGAAAATACTTTCACAAAAACCATTTTAGTTTTTAAAACCTTTAATGGATTTTTTGTTAAATCTAAAGCCTTATATTATAGTTTAATTTTTATACGCTTTAATCACTAGTAAAATGTAGAGTTTTTAATTTTTTGGGGTTACTATATGTGTAAAAAATGCATACCAATCTATTTGTTTATTAATAAATTACACATATACAAATAATTTACTGGATATTGTACTATGTATACATACTACAACTCGCTGTACATTTGAAAAAGGCTTAATCCGTGGGAACTAAAGTATAATACACAACAAAAAATAATCGTCCGGGTTTTAACCGTTTTTTCTTCTTTAGGGACCCTTGAAAGTTTTTATTCTATAAACGTTACACAAACACGTCATAATGGATGGCAGAAGTTATTTTTTATCTTTCAATTTTTTTTTTTTTTGAATCTACACTTATTATTGATGAATACTTAATTTATATAAAGAAATTACTACTCTATTAATACATATTTATATTAAAAAATTACTTTACATTGTTTTTAATTTTTGGTACTATTAAACCAGACCTCATACATGCGTTTTTGAAATACATTATTATAGTATAGACAATTTCATAAGGTTTTAGTATATCATCCTTGTTATACAACATAGAAGATCGATATATAACCTGTAAATATGACTCGTATTAAACTTATTAATGTAAAAGTTATAATTTGAATTATTATGTTATTGAAATCACTTATGGAAATGTTGAGGTTTTTACGCGTTTATATTTTGTACAGAAGTTATATTTTTTCTGTGAAAATGTATGCATGTTTAGAAAGCTAAAAGCTTTTAGGGTGATTATTTTACATTAAGCTCGAGAATTTGACAAACTTACCTGCATAAAAAACGGAATGTATGGCCACGCAAGCAACAAACACAATTTGTAATGAAATTAATTCAAGTACAATTAAATTTTATCTTTTATTATTATTGTTGTTGTTCTACATTTACTAAACAATACTTTAAAAAAAAAAAAAACTTTCAAAAAGATATCTGACGTTTGAGCAAATTTGATAATGCTCCCTAGAATTTAATACATATATAAAACAGAGTTGAGATACTTTTATTATTATATAATACATATATAAATATGTATGTATATACTGAGTGATCGATTAAGGATAAGACACTCATTTTCTTAGAAACTATCGAGAGTTTTTAATTTTTTTAAAGAGAAAACATACTTAGTTTATATATTCTACAATTATAATAATATTATTAAAAAACAATTACTCCATTGTATAATTTATAGCCGAACAAATATTTTTCACACCTTCATATATTAGGTTATGCCCATTTATAGAAGAAATAAAAAATTAATTTAAAACCATGGTTTTAATTTCTTTCAATGAGAAAAACATAGGGGTACAACTCGTATTGGTGTATGTACATCTCGCTCGCAATACATACCCATTCAATGTATTATAATGATGTAAAGAATGGACATTGGATGAAAAAAATTATAAGAATAAAATTTTTTGAAATTTTTTCTATCGTGTTATTAAAATATTTTATTATTATTACTTAATAATATGACAGAAAAAATGGTTTTAATAGAAACTCAACCACTATTTTTTACTTAAATATAAAATAGTGGTGTCTATTTAAGAAAATTAATTCTCCTAAACACATTATGATGGGGAAAAAAAAATCTTAGCACAATTACTCATTGAGTTAAAGCATTAAAATACATATTGTCAGTTTGGAATGCGAGCGGAGTATACGTAAATCAGTAAGAGTGTCCCACCCTCACTGTATATCGACTCTATGTCTTAAAATGCTTGTAACTCAATGAGTACTTGTCCTAATATGGATATCGACCCATTACAACTTTTTACAAAAAAATGACTAAAAAATGGTTATTTTTTTTGATTTTGAAAAATATAATAATTTTTTTTAATTAGTGATAAATAATAATAAATATGCTATAAACGTAGTTAAAGAAAACACGTTCAAATCATATTTTTAATTGTTTTCTAAATTAAAAAATAGCCATTTTGTAGCTCATTTCTTACGAAATAATTTTATATGTCGATAACAACTTTAAAATAAGTTTTTATCAAGTTTCAAGCATTTTAAAACATAGAGCCCATACGAACGCAGGTGAAGTTATACTTACATCATTATTAGCTATAGGCACCTATATACCTACTCAACGTTTTAAAATGCTTGTAATCAATAAATATTTGTTCGTAAGTTGTTAGCGACCCATCAATTTTTTTAATTGATCTGCATCTTCAATCCTAAAAAAATGTCAAAATAATAAAATTNTTGTAAGAAAAGAGTATTAGTATGGTACTGCAATTGATGATTACTTATTTGTTTTATAAACATTGTAAGTATTATTTGAGCCAGTGCCAAATACTTTTCGATTCTTAAGACAATTTTATTCGTAACATTTGGAATACATTTTTCCTACATGAACAATTACTAATTATAACATTTTTTATGAATTTATTGAATCATTATTAAATTGTTTATTAAATATCGAATTACCAACAAAATGTACAACTTAATATAAAAATCATTTTATACCGTTAAAAATGATTTAATTAAAAGCTTCTCTATTGAATATAAATAGAAATAACGATCATAACGATTTTAAAATGAGTATCAACTTCAAAAATGTACAGCTTATTTTAATTGATCTGCATCTTCAATCCTAAAAAAATGTCAAAATAATAAAATTAAGAAAAACGTGAAATAANAATTGATCTGCATCTTCAATCCTAAAAAAATGTCAAAATAATAAAATTAAGAAAAACGTGAAATAAAACATAAAAATATATATTATTTTATTTTGTTATTTTAATATTAGTTGTAACAAGCTCATTAAATAAAAAATCATAAAAATCCCTATTATTAAATTTAATTTTACATATTAGATCGAAAAAAAAATCTAAGTATAAAAGTAAAAATATGTAAGCAGTGTAAGTATAAAATAATAATTTTATTCAACAAATATTTTAAAAAATATGTTTATCCAATGAAATTTTATTGTTATTATTTACTTTTTATAACTCTCGGGGAATATTTGATATTTATCGTTAAAATAAGCACATTGGCCAATAAAAAGCTATAGGCGTTTTCTCAGTTGTTAAGGAGATATTAATTGAATTTGTAACTAAATTTTACAACCATCAAATTTTGTCACAACAGTTTTGCATAAAAGTCAAACTATTTTTGTGTTAAAATACATATTATACGTTGATATATTTGAAGGTCTTACACTTTTTACTAAAAAGAACTTTTGTTCTAAGGCAAAAGGGGAAATAATGGATTGCAAAGAAACCTCAGAGACAGTTATGCCATTAAACAATTCGGAAGACTCGGCAAATATTATAAATGATAAACTGGATGAAATTCACTTGACTTTGCTTGACAATCATGATTTGGTCCATGTACCAACAAACGAATCAGGTCATAGTAGTAATTTTAAAAAACCAAAATCTTGTCTTGGACTTACGAAAAGACTTCTTTTCTCTGCCGACATAAGCAAAAGAAAAAAAGAAGACTGTTCTTTCTTCGTAAAATCTGAAGACACTATAAGCAAATCCGACAATGTCAAAATTGATTTTAAAAAGTCTATGGCTTCATGTTCAAATGAGAACTTCTTACCAGTATCTTCCGAATATCTGATCTCTGATAAAAAAAAATCTTCTCTTAAGGAAACGCCAGTAAAAAATTCGTCAATTCCATTATGTCGTTTATCGAATATATTTGAAGGAAATCGTTATTATAATAATGAATTAGTCACACATGAGAAAAATTCAGCAAAGCACATTGAACATTTATCTTCTGAACAAAAATCTATACCACAATGGAAAAAAGTAAAAAAATATTTTAGTCATGTGAGTAAAGAGTCAGAAGAAGAAAATACGCAAACCAATAGTTTTTGTTTTTTGTTAAAGCGTTTCACTGGAAGTTTTCAGAAATTTAAACAAAAACTAACTCATTCACATGTCGTTGATAATAACGCAAGTACCCATGGTAAGACTTTAGGATTATCAAACATTAGTTTAAATCAAAGAAAAGAAGACAATGATTGTCTTTTAGTAAATCCCGAAAGTAGTTATTGTTACTCAACTTCTCCTGATTTCAATAATGAAAAATTAGACTCCGAAAATGTAAATTATAAAACAACTGAGCTAAACTGTGAATCAAAAACCAGAAAAAATAGTTCTTCTATATTTTCAACCATAAGTACTAATAGTTTCATATCTAAAAATTTGTTTAAACAATCGTTATACGGCAAAAATTTAATTGATAAACCTACTGAGTCATATAGTAAATTAGTACCCAGTGAAAAAAAATCAACTTTATATTCATCCGAAAGTATTGTTAGTTTTGAATTAAACGATTTGTTTACTGAATTGTTGTACTCAGAGGATTTAATTGATAAACCTACTGAGTTATATAGTGAATCAGTAACTAGCGAAGAAAGTTCATCACTATATTCATCCGAAAGTACTCATGATTTAATAATCAACTAGAATGTTATATGATTATGAGCATATAACAAAAACACAATAAAATATAGAGGAAAACTAAAAATAAGAGGAACAGCCGTATTAAAATATAAAAACATGCTAAAATTAATTGCTCATCATATTAAGTCAAAATAGTTGATAAAATAATTTTTTTTCTTAATTTAACTTCAATTTGTTCAAATTTATAACTGTCTGTAATTTTTATAAATTCCATTTTTAACTTTGTGTTTTTTAAATTTATTATATTTATTTTTTATATAAGATATTTTTTTGTGGTGAATATTTATGTTTATTCATGTTTAGATGTTTGCAACTTTCATTTTCACGTCATAAAATCATATCATTTTTTGTGTAATGGTTATTTTTTTTATATTTTGTTAATATATTAGCAATAAATGTTTGTAAAAGTTATATATGATATTTTATTATGGTAATTGGTTAAAATTTTGATTTTTTAACACACAATGTAATGGCTTTGTCTAAGAAAAGTTAAGTATAAAAGCTGAAATCTTATATCAATTTTTTTTTTTTTTCATAAAAACTCCTTAACTTATAAAATTGAAAATCTTACAGAAATTTGTCTATGTAAGTAATCATGAATTAAACACAAACATCAAAAATCTTTGAAAAAAGTAAACTAAAAATGTTTAATTTACATACTAACATATTTTTTTTGTGTATACAATTTTATTGCGTGTTTTGGAATCACATTGAGTTTGATGAAAATACGTTACTACGCGTATCAATTTGTAATAGGAAATGCAACTATTTTATACTCCACACAGTCATGATAAGACGAGTATATTTAGAAGAAAAGCTTAAATTTCGACATTCGCGTGTACATGGAACTTTAATAAACCTTTTATATTCATTGTAAGTTCCATGACCATGCCATAATATAAAATATCTAGTGATGACATTCATTCATTTGACCAAATGGATTTTGAAGCTTTACTTAGATAAAATACGGTGAAATTCTATTTGTACAAATTTTGTTCTTTTACTTTTAAAATAAACCAATTCTATCATTATTTATTGAAAAAATTCATGGGTACATTATAATATTAAATGTTGTCAATTTATAAATATAAATCAATCAATAAATTTATCACCTGGTTAATATTTGATTCGTGTTATTTTAGAAATTTTATAAAAGCTTATTGAATTTACTAAAAATATTTTTACTATTTCACTTAGAATAAATATTTGACTATTAGAGAATTCTAATTGGTATTCTAATTTTGCAATACCAAGATAACCTTGATAAAATAAACCTTTTTATGTACAGTATTATTAATTCAATTGTAATTTTAAAATCAATAATACAATAATATAATAATATTTACGAGTAAAAATAGTTACATTATTAAAGTAAAATTTTAATCAATTTTATTGCTAAAGACATTATTATTATAAACACTATTTAATGACTACCTCTGATCTACAATCTGTTAGATTTTAAACATTTTTATTTTTATTATTTTTATAAGAAATTTACAATCTGTTCTTAACTAGAACAACAGATTTTAAACATAATTACATTTTTTATAGCTTATAAGTGAATAAAACATAAACCAATTATTACATAAAATTCTAAAAAAAATATATTTATATTCTACTATTTACTCATAAGGTAACCTGTAATGAATTTTAAAAATAGTTCAAAGTTCGTATCATAATTATTCTTTTTTAATATATTACAATTATTCTATTAAAAACACTAATATTATTTTGGGATTTATTGATGATAAAATTATATGGGTTTATAATTTTTTTCGTAGGTTATGTTTTGTCTACTTACACTTTTTTTAATAATAGAGAGTAAATAGACATACTGTAGTGTCAATATATATAGAATACATAATGTATCCTTAAAAAAATAAGAATAAATAGTTAGCCAAAGATCAAGGCAAACAAATAAAATTAATTTCCTATTGTATTTGCTTATATAACAACATAATACCTAAAATATAGGTAATAAGTAACAAAATCTCATTTTGATGAAACCTTACATTAGTAATTCATAGATAGTTTAAACATAAAATTAAATTAAAATTTGGCGTACTTAAATAGATAACCGTCACTAATATTAACATGTTAAAAAAAATGAAAAGATAATTTTTGAAAGTCTATAATAAGTGTTTATCTTCAATTTATAAAAGACCACAAAATGTACAATTAAAATAAAAAGATTTTATTTGCTCAAATTGTATGATAAAATATAATGAATTAAGATTTAAAATACCGTTTTATTTTCATTTATTTTATATTTTTCAAATAAGGCGGAAATTCAATAAATAATCTTAGATTTGTATATTTATTAAATACGCACTTATTTATACAATGTCTTTGTGTTGATAAAAACTCAGAAATGTTTAACTAATTTATAAATTAAGAATATATAGTAAAAGCAATTCCTGAATAAACACTCATCGTCTATGGAAGTTCATTTTTAATTAATTAATGTTAAAAGTTTTCTCAATTAAAATATTATTTAAATATTTTAATGCTGGTAAAAAAAATGCTGAAAGTTCCTAGAGTGCTATCATGAACTATACCGATTAGTGCATTTAAAATTATTAATTGAAATAAACTTGTTTAAGTTTTTACCATTGAGTAAGCTTCTGCAGGTCTTAGCGTAAGAATCGTTGACTTGCTATAACAACATAAACAATGAGACGGTCGCACGACACTACCTATTGCGTGGGAAGTCAAGGCAATACTGATTATTGTACAGCGGGTAGCGAAAGATTTCGAACCATACACTGATGTGTTATGTAACAAAACAATCATAATAGAGTAATTGTATGTTTTTTAGCACTAAAAACTTCTTCACAATTTTAATTTATACATCCACGTGTGTACACATTACTCAGTATCGTGTGTTATTTTTGCTGCAGAAACACGCATAATTAGTGTCCCATAAAACACATTAAAAATATGTACATTGTTTACTTTTTCAGACATAGCGTGAGCGATATTTTTCAAATTAAATCTTTTTTTTTTTTTGTTTTATAATTTTCAATAATAAATCTTATTAATAGTGTTACAGAGTTTCAATAAATTAAAAAAATTTTTAACAAATAAATCAAGCTTTTTCAATAAAATTATAGCATTTTTTATTGTAAGAAAAATTATTTTCAGTTTATCTTAAAAATCATTTTATTATATAAGTAGTTTTTAATTGTGTGAAGAGTATAATATGCACTTATTGTAAAATACCATTTAGGAACATTTCAATAAACACATTTATGTAAGTATAATTCAATTTTCTTAAAAAAGTTTCATTAGTTTAACAAATAAAATTAATCAGTTCTTGTATCTTATTGCAAACATACTATTAAAATTAATCATTTAAAATCTTATATGTTTATTTTATAAATTATTTGAATTGCAAGTCAGTAGCTTACAATAAATGACGTTCAAAAATTAAATAAATTTGTTTTATAAACACAGAAACATTGTATCAGAAAAAGTTAACTGAATATTGTTGAAATTCGAATATTTTCATGATCGTTTTTGGATATTATGAAATAATATAAATAGTGTTTGAAAAATAACACATTTTTCGTTCAAAATTTTTTTAATTGTCAGAAATAATTGTTTTTTAACAATGAAAAAATATACACATAATTATACGATCCAAAAAAAAATGTGATGATAACTATAATTTTTACTGAAAAATAATAATAATAACAATGTTTTACTCGAAATAATTGTGAATTAAAAATATTTAAACATTTTATTATTATAGTTTAATTATAATAATGTTCTTATAATACAACGGCATGAATTGTTTTTATTCAATTAATTATAAAATTGAATGTAGATATCATTACATTAAACTGTGTCCTTTTTTGCTATAGAATTTATTTATTTTTTGTTGTTTTTTACGGATCATTAGTGCAGTACTATTTTTGTAAATAAGAAAAGTATGGTAAGGTATGATTCAAGTTAAAAAAATTAAAAGAGTAGATAGTTTGGGAAACGTTAATCAAACGCATTCTTCAGGTTTTTGTGGCATTATTTAGTACAAAAACATTTATTTATAATATTTTAATTTTCCAGAAACTTTTTTTTTTAATAAACCCAAGTATGATCTATTAAAAATACGATTTTCTATTTATTTAATATAGCAACCATTAAATAATAATAACAATAACAGCTCCAATAATTATAAATAAGAGCAGAATACGACATAATAATTTAATTATTATCGTATATATTCTGTAAGTACGTGATTAGCTATACCATTAAAATTATTAAAGTAATAATTTTTTCATGTATATATGAATTAAAAATATCTAATATTTAATCATTGTCTGAAGAACATAATTTAAAAAATAAAAATTTATAATTTAAGAAATCGTCTAAAAGTAAATTTTTTGACTGCTCAGGTATTATTTCATTGAGTAAAATTGCATTTCTGCAATTGGTTTACTTCTAATGATACCTTATGATCATTTATCCTAATCCATATTTTTCTTTAAAAATCCATGAATTTATATATTTTGCATTTATTAATAATCACTTCAATTGCTTTTCCTAAGAACACCATATCATTTATTTTATCAATAACGGTCGCAAAGATTGTTACAGTAACATACTTCAATGCTCAGTTTCAAACTGTGGTGGATAGGCAATCTTATAAAGATAAACGTAATGAACTCCTCTACCCTTTAAAGTTAAAAATTGGTCGTACATAGTTTTTAATGACATAGTTTTTCTGTCTGTGAACGAGAATTCAATAGGTTCGTAATTCAAATTGATACAATAAATATTTTGTAACTGAATGAGTTCTTCAGATACAATGGTACAAAAAGTATAAGTTACTAAGGTCATTATTGTCAAAATAACACATATAAACTTGGCCATTTTAATTAACAAAAGCTAATATAATTATTTTTAGAATAATTCCAATTCCAAAGAAAACGAACTTAAATTCTTGCTGTTAATTTCAAAGAAAAAATATTTGGATTAAACAAATAATTGGTAACTTCATATGATTGTTTATAAATCATCATTAGGTCATCATATACATTGTATATGATGTTGTCGTATTGAGACGTATCTTAAAATTATTTTTATCGTACTTTTAACAAACCCTACAAATTGATGTTTAGCTATGATTAGTGGTGCAGGGACATGTGGAAACACATGTCCCTAAGCTATGCTAATATTTTATCAAACAATGTAATAATCTGATATATGATAAGTTAATAATTATTATCAATTGAAAAAATTTTTGTGATCAATGATAAATGTTAAAATATTAATTAAAAAAATATTATATTATATTGAGCAAAATTCAATGCCTTTTAGGATTGTCGCAGTAACGTTATAACTTATTACTAATTAATACGTTAATCTTTTTGAAGTGTATATTTCATAGAGGTATATACTACTACAATTACATTAACTATTATATACCTGTTTTTAATTAATTAAATGATCCAATTAAAAAACCCAGTTTAAAGGGATCACAGCATAGTTGACACAAATAAAAATACTGAGATGGTTAACATAACTATCATAAAAATAACTTCAAGGAATCTGTTAAATTTAAAAATAATTTGTATATTTGTAATTTTTTAATTTCTGTTTTTTTTTAAATTTCATAGAAATACTAGTTGTATTTAGCTACTCTGCATTTTTACCATATGCGCAGGTAAGAATTCTTCTACGTTGGGCAACCGCTAGCCCATAACTAAAAATTATACTAACCCAAAAAGTAATGTTAGAAAACTGATTATAGGCCACTCAAAATTTAATTTAAACCATTTTCCATTTAATATTAATTTAATTCACTCCCCAATTAACAGTAAAAAAATAATTATAGGATCCCATTAAACTATATAAAATCTGATTAAAAATAATTTTTAATGAAAAAGTTTAAAAATTCACGATATTACAACAACAAAATAGAAACTCATTTAGCATAAAAGGGAGGAAATAAAAACATTAATAAAATTATTAATGAAGCAGGAATTTATCTGCATTTTATATAGATAAAAGACAAATTATTTTATCTTTCATCTGAATAATAATTATGTCGTCTAAGTAACTTTTTATTCTTGTATCTATATTTAATCTAGATTAATTTTTGGTTATCTATTCCTAACTCTCATAAGGTATTTATTAATAATTTAATAATTAAATGTCATTATTTAAATAGGAAATAAGATTATTCAAAAAAAGTACTTTTCTATTAGTAAATATTCTGATACTTTTATAGTTAAACTTCTTGGTTTTAAAATATACAATTTATATAATCAGTAACATAATTTTAGGTATAAGTTTTATGTAATGGTCAACAATATTTTGGCTATAAATACATTATTATTTTTAACAGTGTATTGGTATAAGTATACTTATGTATCAATTTAAATTATTATTAATACTGTTTATTGTGTCCATTATAATATTCTATATAATGCCATATCAAAAAAATTATTGCTTGACTAATAAAAATAATTTTAAAATTAAACAAGGCTACTGGTGCATCCTATTTATATTTACTAAACAAAACTGTACTTATCTAAAAAAGAATCTATATTTACTGATACAGATTCTAATTTTTTATTTTAAGTATTTTTTTAATCTAAATTTAGATTCAAAAAAAAATATTTGAAAGAGATTATTTGTTATGTTTTGCTTAATTATTTTAAAAAAATGTTATTTTAACAAATTATAAGTTACACATATTTAAAAGCACATATACTCGCATATAAACTGCGTGTGTTTAAAGAGTCTGTGCTCTTAATTTTTTTGGAATACTATAATAATCAACATTACATTAAAATGATAAAATAAAAATATTTATGTCCGATTGTTTTATGTACATGTTATAACGGCACAGTTGCCTTTAAAAATATACCTAATAAAATTGGTCACGCCCACAATAATTATATTACAGGAAAAATGATGTACTAATGCTTTTAATATAGCGGACAGCAAAACGATGTCGCTTGTCTACACACCTAAACCTTTTCATTGTAAAAATATTAAAAGTCAGTCTTAATTATCAGCTGTTTTGTACGCACTGAAATTTATTTAAAAATTTGCTTGTATAAATGACTAGTATTGTATTATTTTACAATAGTAATACAACTTTAAAATGAAGAATTCGCACTAAAAATATCAAATGGTTTTTATTATTTGATAATTTATTTTTTTAATTAAAATCACCACTATTACAAAGATAAATAAATATATCATCCTTAAGTGATGTAGCCAAGAGGCAAGCCTGAGCCCTCTCCATTGATAGCAATAATCATCTCTAAAATGAGTCAAAAAACAAGGTAAACATATGGAATTTTATCAATTTTTGATACTCCCTCCATCGTGAAATACTGGCTATGCCACTTGCTTTTAAACAAAATTTTAGGCATGTTATATTTAAATCAATCGCAGGCAAATGTCTTTAATCATCAAAACCATACATGTGTATTGAATTTTTACCAAAATACTATAAGCATTCGTCACACTGCGCATATCTTATTGACAAAGTGTCACTGATGCAAAACAATCTCAATATATCCATATTATACATTTTTGAAATAATTTTTTGTCATCAACTATGATAAAGTTAGAACCGATAAGAAGAAAATCTGCAAGTTAGTAATTGCATATATCTACTGTTTTTTAATAAAAGAACTAAATTAATAATTCACAATTCATTTGATAACTTTATCGCAGAAGTATTCATATTAAATGTGACGATTATATCGATGTTATATATGATATCAAATGTCGCGATTTTTTAATCTGCAAAAATATTTTTCTAT